CGCTTATTTAATGATGAGAGTTCCGGTCGATAGATTATTAGAAACTTTTCTTTAAGACAAAGGTTACATCTTTAGCTGGAGCTGTTGTAGGAGGAGCTTGAAGATAGGACGCGCCATAAAATGATATATAAATATATATCAATGAATGTCAAAGTTTTAGCGATCCGGTGTATATAATATAAATATGTATATATATATATCTAACCTGTTTTATGAAAAGGTAACCCCCCTTAACATGAGCTTGGTTAGGTGGTCAGAATTTCACACTGGAGTGCTTTGGAAGTGAAGGGTCATTTTTTGGTTTGGCGCGTTGTGCACACAACCCTAACTCCGCCCCCCTCCCCTCCCCACCACCGGGACCCCAAATGTCAGCCATCTATATAGCACTAATGGGTCTCTTACCTTAATAATCTTGTCACTTTTTCAGGTGCGCATGCACTGACTGAGTCTTGGGCCTGGGGGGAAAAAACAACAAAAAACAAAACAAAACAAAACAAAGCCAAGCTTAGGGCTGAGAGTGGAACAAAGGCAGGGAAGTGTTGACGTCAGAACTAGGCTTGGCGGATCTGATTCTATGCCTTTTAACATCTACATCTACATTTTATTGTCAGCAGGAACTATACATTAAGTTATCACGCTAACTATGGGAAAATTAAATAAATAGATAAATAATAAAAAATAAAAAATAAAATATACAATAAAAAGTACAATATTTGGTAAATCAAATGGCATAGCATGCAAATGCTTGGAGACCAACAACAAAACAAGAATACTTAAAAAAGCTGCAATTGACGTATTTCAAATTTAATTGATCTGCGCCACTAATGTTTCGTACATTAAGGTGGAACCAAACTAATTCAGAGCGAATTTTGGACAATTTTATACTTGCTCGCTTCGCAGAACTAGAGCGTCAATTTAATTGGATTGTCCTATATTATAGCAGTGTAATTCGCTCTGAATAAGTTTGGTTCCACCTTAATATAAATGATTACTCCTCGTACTCCACAGCATTAGCATTTGGCATGGAAAAACTTTATAACTTCAAGAAACATCACTCAAACTGAAAATTTTTTTATTTTACCCCATGTAGAATCAATACTGTGAATATTGTCAGAAGGGTGAAAGGCACTTCTGAAGAACTTCTGCTTAGGGGGTTAGCTCGGCTAATGCGGATGAAGGATAGAATACAATGATAGTCGCGAGTTATTTTTATATTCAAAATAGTTTACAACACAAAAGGCAAAAAAAAAAAAGATGTGCCCTTCGTAATAACAAATTATGTCTTGAATTCAAACTAATTTATTTGATTTTTGCCGATTCTCTAATTGACTTTGGTTAGCACAACTCTAGAAAGACCATCAGATCCAGCTGATTGCTTTGAAAAATTGATTGCATGTCTAAATCCTAATTCACTCTTAATGTGAATGCATGACTTCATCATAAATGCCCCTTGCTCGAGGGCCTGATAAAATGTTTTTGTCTTATACAACTTGGCTACTCATATTGTAAAAAGCTCGTGTTCACTGGTGTGTTACTTGCAGAGGCGGGCCTAAAAGCCACTCCTTTAGTTGTTAATGTGGAGCAAACCTCAAGGTGTTTGCACTCGGGATATCTTACCGAAATATAGGGTAGCCCTTACGGAGAATTTCCTATTCAGCCATACGGGAAGCAACATTTCCAATCAACGAGCATTTTCTTGGTGAGTAAAGAACTGATATGTAACAAGCTTTTCTTTATTCTCATTGAGTTTTTTTTTTTTTTTTTTTTTTTTTTTTCTTTTTTTTTGTCCAAAAAGTACTTACGCCATTATTTA